AGAATACAAAAATGCGCCCATCAGAGAGTATTTTTGAGAATAATTTTTTTTGTAACGTCACACTGGTGCATTTGCGAGAGTCAGAAATGCCAAAACGCGAGCAAGAATGGAAGGAGAACAAAATTTGCAAGAATAACGTAAACAGATTGCACAAGTGTGACGTCATACAAACAGCGATTCTGTCAAATTCACTATGAGTCCCTTTTAATGTAAGAACTTCAGTTTATTTTAAAAATGTATATCATTTTAGGAAGACGCTAACAATATGCAACAAATTGAGGGTCACTGTCTTGTGGCTAAACCACATCTTGTTAGTAATTATATCATATCAATCATATGTTATTTGGTTTATCTCCGAAAATATTTAATACATATTTTCAGAAAGCAGAATAATCAACTTCATTTATATAACTATTTGGCTAGCTTTTGATAGTAAGTAACTAAATACTTATATAAAATGTACAGTCCAACTCAGCAAAATATGTTCAACAGCATCACCGAATTAATTAAGAGCTGCATAACACAGCGAAACGTTGGCCTGTGCTCCCAATATTCTTACACTATTCGAAGTGTCTTTGAAATTCGGGAGGACTTTTCGTTAATAAAACCAATAGACCAATAGAACGAATACTCTGCTGATTAGTAGTACAAACAAAATTGAACTGAAACCCATTTATTTTCGTTTATAATTACTCTTTAATTAGGCGCTAATTTTACTGAACTTTTTCTGGTGAACGATTAAATTGTGTTGTTTTTCTCATAAATTTTTTTTTTTTTTTTTTTAAATATGTCAAAATAAAACCAATACCAGAGTGGTTTGTTTTGGTGTTTTTAGGTTTGTCAATTGAATTGTCAATTACAACTAAATTTCGCACAATTTAGTAAAATAAAAGTAAATAAAAATAATGCAAACGACCCAGTAACATATTGTATGGAAAGTAAACTTAATAAAAAGCTAAATATTAGAATAAGCAATTGAAAATGAAAGACGTACTAAGAACGTACATATGTATGTCAACTATAGAAGAAGTCCGAGTTTTGTCTTAAAAAATAAAAATTCGCTTGAAATACATATTAACTAATGTGTATGTCCGCCATTGTTGAGGAAATTGGATGATATGATTTTTAAGTTCTTTTTTGTTTTTTGTTTTTTGCTTCTTTACTGGAACTAATACTCTCACGCAGCTAAATCACTAAATCCATTACCAAGTCATTCGTTCTTATAGGCACACGCATTACATATAACACATAGTATGTAAATCTGGAAGAAAACAATATAAAAAATAAAAATAAAATAAATTGGAGGCAGAAAATAAAATTTTAAATATTTATAAATTTTATATAAATAAATGAGGTAAAATAAAATTTGGGATGAAAACGGGCACAAACTTTAACCAGGTAGAAGTCGTTCAAGCGTCAAGACAACTGTCAAAATTAAAACCCGTAGTCGTCATCGTAGTCATCGGAGACTGCTTAAATCCAACTTCCGTGCATCCGGCAAAACACCTCTCATTTTGGTGGATCAATGCTTAAAATCGATAGGAAAGTTTACCGTGGCCCAAGAACATTTTAGTGAACATGAATGGACATTCCAACAGGCCTCCGCTCCTGCTCATAGGGCAGCAGAAGATCAACACAATTGCAAAGAAAAATTTCCGAAAGTTATCACAGCTGCAGAGTAGCCAGCGTAGTCACCAGATGTGATGCCCATGGATCACTACGCCGTGAATGCCATCTGATTTCGATATTTTACCGAAGTTTTAAAGCTCTGTGTTGGTGCCAAGGGAGGCAACCCCGTTATTTTTTGTCACCCTGTACATGGAATACAAATTGTGAGTCTTACAGGGCAATTATGGCAACTGTTTTTCAACTCACCACAGTCTTTCGAAAGACAATTGGTAATTCTGGCAAGCTACATATCTTTTCTGTCTTTCGAAATACTAATTAAAAGAAAGCTGACATTTCTTAATCGCTCTTATAGGCGAGTTAAGCTAGGCGAGCAACCGCGAATATTTTCCTGCTTAACGATCGATTTGTTAAACCAACTAATCAATTTTTGTTTACAGGTTTACCTCTTTTAAGAGTCTTTCATGAGCTGGTTCTCACCATTTTACAGTGGAGTAGCGATACTTTCCTTAATAAGCATATTTTAAGGGGAGTTATTTTTGTTTGATGATATAGAATGTATGTATGTATGTATGTGTGTGTTTGTATGTGTATGTGTATTCGTTTGTTTTTGATTCAGACTAAAACGCCATAATACTTGCTTTACTTAGTTCCAGCATATTAGCTACATTCTATTCTAGAAATATTCTAGAGCAATTATTCATGTTAAGCTTTATTTTAGAAACAAATTTTATTAAATTTAAATTTCGTTCTTTCATAACCGCATTCTGTAACAACTCTTCGTTACCACCAGCATTATAATTTTTTATATCTCCTACTTTACCATGCTGAATACCTCTATCGCTACCTATAGCCTTCCACTTAATATTCGGTTCAAAGCTATTCATACGTTGAAATGTTAACATTTGTATTTGTATTGTTTCATTTAGTTCATCAGCATATAAATTATGATTATTTTTATTTCGTTTCATTAACCATTTGAATTGCTCATCATTATTCAAGTCATTGACTGTCGAATATTTTCTCTTCATTCTGTCATTGAAAACGCATAACATCACAAATTTATAGATTAATAACATTATGCATACAAATTGTACGAAATTTACAAATTTCGCACTCTTTTGCAAACTTACAACAAAACGATGACAACGGAGTCATTCCGGAAGCGCAAATTGATCTTGTTCCATTGGTTTTTTCAGCCAGCTGCCCAGGTCTTCGCGTCGAAAAGCCGCAAATAACTCTTTCTTGGCAATCTGAAAGATACAAAATGGGTATAAGTATTATCTTAGCACAGGTATTAAAAATATACATATGTAGAAGGGAGTATTTCATGTTAAGTTGTTTAGAAAAACATTAATTTAGGACTAGTACGCTGAAATGACAGCAGGAGACTTTCCGGTAAGTAATTTTTTACCTTAACCCTAGAATACTAACGTTCGCCTGTGAGGCGGAACGAATTCGGTTTCCGCGCGATATTTCAGGAACACTTTTAATGACCAAAGCAAACGTTCGCGCCAACTCAGCTTAGCGCTGTACGAGGCTGTTAGCAAACGCACATTGTACAGTGGCCTTGCGCGGCTGAGTTCCACGCCCTCTTGACGCCTGACAGGCGAACGTTAGTAGTAAAGGTAATTTTGTTTGCTGTAATTATTTCAGTTTTTAACATGTTTTTGGCTATTTTCTGTTTTGAACTTAATTTTTTTTTACTTTTCGAGAGGGGTTCCTATGAAGAACAAGTTCTAAAATGGTTGGAAGAAATATCGTTGAATGGAACCGATAGTGAGAACAATTTGGAAGAAGATTTCAAGGTTTCAAACCTTTTGTTTGATTTATTCGAATAACTTTACGAAGAAAAAAGCATTGCTTAGTTTTTATTCATAAGGCCCAATGTGATACAAAAAAGTCGATTTCATTTTTAAGTACAGCTCACAATAGAAAAGATAGACAACTAATTCCTTTTAAGTGTGAAAGTAAATACCTCTAAGATAATTCATGGATTGTTTGAGTGCGTTCGCTTTTAAATGCTTTTTTTTTTTAATTTTTTAAAATGACCCCTTTCAAAAAGATTATAAAATATGTGCTATTTTCAATACGAATTATTTTTATTAATATTAAAAAAATTATTAAATTATTTCATATTTTTAGTTTAAAAACATATGAAATATGTTTAAACTCATTTTTTAAACAAATTTAAGTTTTAGAAACACAAAACTTGTACTTTTTTTCAAAGTAGCCTCACAGGCGAACGTTAGTATTAAAGGAATAAAAAATAAGGTTAGTATTCTAGGGTTAAAGAGCGTGAGAAATACACTAGAGGTTTGCCATTGCCTGCAGAGGGGCGACCGCTGCTAAGAAAATCCCTTTTTTAATTTTTTTGCAATGTTGCTTTGACCAGGGCTTGAACCCAGGCCCTGCGGAGTGGAAGCGCGCACTGGTTACTACTACACCACAGCGGTCAAAAAACCTCAGGCGATTGTTCGGAGAATGCGTCACACTAGGCTAAGCATGCTTTCAGGTGCCATCAACCTATTACTTTAATAAGTCCTGCTATATGCCAATTGAGAAACCCTTATGCAAAAATTTCATAAATTGCAAAAAGAAAGTTTTGCAACAGCAGTTGTGCACATATCTGTGCTGACCACTTTATGCGGGTTGCTCGAGGATGTAGTATACATTGAGAGTTAAATCTCTACTGGAAAACGGGCTCTGAGTTTTCATAGTTTATATATAATAATTTCTATACGTTTGTAGCTTAGGAATACAAATTTTAAAAATCCACTTTAAAATTGAGATGAAGGCACTGTAAATTCACGGCATACAAGTTCACTCACCTGGTAGTCCTTAACCCTCTCCTTTGTTTGCCCGTAATCGGTAGTCAGCTTGCGATTTGGTATGCCCGGTAAATTTTTCATCAAATAGCCATACTTCATGAAGTACATTTGCTTGGTTATGCGCGATATTTGGTTATTTACCGTTTTACCGGTAAGTGAATTCACCACCTCGACCTCACTGTCGCCAATTGTCCAATTGATGCCGAAATTCGGTGCCTTAGCCTGATTGCGAGGCTCAGCGGAGGTGACCAACGCCAAGCGTGGTTTATTCAGATGATAGGGCGGCGGAAGACCTTGTATGGATTTCTCTATTCGGCCGCAAACGGCACGATACATGTGCTCTGGATGCAACAAGCTGCCCAACACTATGGAATGCAAGTAAATTGGCTCGACAATGGAGGCCAGCAGAGATCCCTGTATGCCAACGATATTCCAGCGAGCAATCTTGTCGGAGCAGGACATGGTCAGTAGACGTTCGCCCTGTGAAGAAGTAGAAATTTCAATTTGAATGGTTGACAAAAGTGATGATGATGAATTAAGATGGCAGGTGAAATTTATTAGCCTTTCTTCTAAAGTCTTGGTAGACACTCACCTGCAATACACCGTCCCATGTTTGTAGGCCCTCTTTGCTTTTTACCGGTATAGTCCCCTCACCCGATTCGATTTTCGTACGCAATTGACCACGCGCCTTTCTGACATTGCCAGGCATGACATGACATGGCATGGCATTTTGCATTTAGCGGTACAATACAAATTTAGCAGCAGCGTTCGTAAATGAGGCGAGTAATCAGCGAGTGGTTTGCGCAATGAATTTTATGTTAAATTTCATTCAATAGGATATTTTGGAAATTTACATTTCAAATTGTAATTTGAATAGCATAAAAATCGCAAAAATTAGTATTTTAATTATGTAGGTTATAGTAGTATATATAAAATATTGTCATCGATCGTACGCAGACGCAGTAGTTTACAGCAGTTTGTCACAGTAGAGACATGACAGAGAAATCACCAACAACGCAACGGAAGCGAACACAAAAGAGTAACAGAAAAACGGCATTTCCAAAGAACATATATATAAAAAAAAACATTGAAATTATTGGAAAAAAGAAATCGAGAGAAAAAAGAGAAGAAAGAATTCATTTATGGATTGTACTTGATTAGTAAAATAAAATAAATTTAATAGAGACTATACTTAATTTTTAGGTTCATATTTTTTTTTTCTTTTTGGTATGAAAATTTACGCATTTTAAAGTGTAAAAAATTGTCAGAATACTACGAAAATTGTATTGTGAACAAAGAGTGTTAAATCTAGCTGATTTATCAATCTTTGTATTGCCATTCGAATTTTGAGGAATTTTTGAGAGAGTACCAGAACTATCAAACATGCTTTTTTTACGTAGTAGATTATGGAGTTCGCATTTTAACAAAACTTCGTACAGTACCAGGAAAAAATAATGCACTTAAAAGTTTTGCTTAATCATTAGGGTTCGAGGAAACTGACATTTCTTTTCGAAAAATTTTGATTTCCTCAAATCTCAAAATAGTGCATTTTTTTGGTAATTTTTTCTTTGTTTCAACTAGACTCTGGTAATCTCCTTGGGAGTACCAAATTCAATCCATGTGTCTGATTTTGCGAGCGTTTTCTTGGCTGAAGTTTTGACTATCGCCGAAGGCAAGTCAAGATGAACGAATCGTTTTTTTCGGACAGTCCGAAAGCCATTAAGGCTCTGACGTTCCTTACAACAAGTTGAAATCGATTTAGGAGAGAAGTTCTTTTAAAAGAGTTTGTAATCAGTTCAAAGTAGACTTAATTTGGTTTTTTGGACCTATTGTAATATACCCGGAAAAGAGGATGTTGATGAGTTATCTATCGGAAATATCGGAGAATTTGTTTACAATCCCCAGCAGTCGGGTCTTAAGTGGCGGATAGTCTCAGACTGCGGAATTGTCTAACCCATGTGGCCCGAGTACAACCTCAAAAGAATACGCAATTTATTGGTAAAAAAAAAAACTGGCGGGCCAAACGCGACTTGTAAGCTAAGTTTTTTCGTCAAGTTTTTTACCTAACCTATACCCAGCGCTTCTCCGAGGGGAGATGCAGATCGTCCATTGGCCGCAGACCGTCCATAAAAGCAACAAACCAATATGTATATTCCTTGAGTTCACAAAAAAATTTGTCTTCAAAGAATTACCCTTAGGCGCTTAGAGACAGCGGCGGTGATGGAATGGCTCTTAACATTTGTCAAACTTTAATTGATCGGACAACATAAAAAAAAATGTTAGCATTTGAAAACTGGCACTCCTTAATGGTCCGAGCTCTACACTAAGCCACTTAAGGGCGAATGATTTGTTTTAATCGATCGAAACATTATCCAAGGAGGTGAATTTTTATTCTGTATCTAACCTGGGGAGATGGTTTTAGTGGCAATGGAAGTTTTTACGTAGAAATATGAAAATAACTTCCACAAACCTTCTCTTTTAAATGGGTTGGAATTTCGGGAGAAAGAATCGAGTAAGACTGTTCGTGTTTCTCACAGCTGACCATCGGCTAAGATTGGAATAACTCGGAGAAAAACGAATGACAAAACAAAGCCGAAAGCCAAGCTGCTATTAAGTTTATACAACGCTGGAGGGTTCATGGTAGGAAGATGATTCGTACTCACAACACAACTATGCAAGTTGCAAATCTCCATTTCCGTAAGTTTCTCGTGGGCAAAAGGGAAGCAAAAGCCTTAGACTAATGAAAGCTGGGCAATGTACAGTAACGAGAGAAGTGATTTTGTAAGTTTCAAGGGTTCCATAGAGCACCGTCATTCAACCCCTGGCTAAAAGGATCTAGGCACCTGGCTTTTTATGGTTTTCGCCCAGCGTTCGCTGAGGTGATTAAATGCCCATCTTTCTGAAAGCCTACCACATGTAGTCATTAAAAGTCCCGCTCTCTCCATACTCGGCGACAATTCCTGGCCTGGAAATAAGCTTGATAGCAAGAATGATAGAATACCAGATTGCGCCGATCAGAGAGGATTTTTGAGAATAACTTTTGTGTGACGTCACACTGGTGCAATTGCGAGAGAGAAATGCCAAAACCTGAGCAAGAATGGAAGAAGAAGAAAAAATGTTGCAAGGAAAACGTAAACAAGTTGCACAAGTGTGACGTCATGCAAACAACGATTCTGTCAAATTCGTTAAGAGAGGAATAGCGGTCCGAGATCGGCGCAACCTTTGTATTCTCTCGATCGTGGCTTGATAGAAGTGATCTGATGCGATATAGAGAGAGAGAAGTTACATCCACTAAGAAAACACTGCATTGATCAGAGAGTCCAAATTTGAGGTTGATTGAGGGCTTATCACAGAAGTAGTTGCCCGTATAGCACTGCACCACTAATTCCAATTCAGGCATACTTTTGCACACTTTTCTAGCTGCTTAAAGATGGTGGTATTCACCAAACAGTACCACTATGTATACAATAACAGTGGTTTAATTGTGGACTCAGGCCGCTGGTAACTTAGCCTCGGCGAAAGGACCAAGCGCTGACCAACGGTCGTCTGCAACAATGTAAGGCTACCGACGACTTCTTTACCCTGTCCTTTTTTATCGATGTCTAACTCCCAGGAAGCTTACAGTCAAGGATCAAGTTTCATGGGGTATTCATTTGTTGGACAGCAATAGAGAAGAAAACACTTCTTAAAATAAAAGAAAGTGTACAAAGGGCTGCGTCATCCGCGCTGAGTTCGGTCTCAACAAATCCTATAAAATGTCGAACTACTGAGCAGCAATCTACCAAATAAATACGTGAATCTTCCTCAGCTCTGGAGTTGCTACACACTGGTACTGACGTACATATGGATGTATGTACTGGGTTCCGCGGCACACGGGCGTCACGACCGAAAGGATTGCCGAAGACGGCGCTCTATCAGGAGCTATGCTAATAGAGTAAGTGCCGATTTCCTTCCAAACGATTAAACGACAGCTCGACCTATCCATGATCCGGAAAGCGAAGAAGGTGTGAACCAAAACGATGATATCGATTGATGGCTCTAAATACGAGGACTTAAACGAAAACAATACGTAGCACTATGAAAGTATGATAATCCACATACTCAGGCATACTTAGGGGAATAAAAATCTTTAATAATGTTCGAGAGATTCACTAATATTAATTCAATCAGGGGCTGGTTTCAAAATATGATTTTAACCATTACGTATCTCACAAACTTGAAAATAAGTGCTTTCAAAATTAAGTGATACCAAATGATTATTAAGACGTACATATATACATATAGGCCTCACCGAGAGGTAATGTTGAAAAACGTACTACCTCGCCCACTTTTAGTTCATAAAATCTTGAAGTAGAAATATTTCAAAGTGTATGAGTTAAAGGTAAGCAGGGAGTATATATATGTATTAATATCACTTCAAGTTTTTCCCATATTACTTGGAAAAAACTTCGAAAAATTTAAAAAGCGTTCAAAAAATTTAACTTCGAGCCTACCCATCAAAAGATTTCATAACTATGGCGATCCCTAGAGCTCTTCACCTCCATCTAGCATACGTTCGATATTTTGGTACTCACTTAAAAATTCGAATATATTCATTTTGAAATAAATATGTATGTAGTATTAAAATACTATAAATATTTATTAATTTCTTACAAATAACAAAATGGGAAGCATAACTCAATTCAAATGTTCCTTAAAAAGGTGTTCTTCTTGTTTACTTATTTACTTGTAAATATCATTTTAGAATGCATGGTTTTTCTCTTTCAATACTTAGTAGTAGTAGTCTAGTTTGTTTAACTTTAAAATTTTTTTGTAATTTCATTTGATTTTGTTTACCAACCTATTTGGATGTTTGTCAACACCAGTGTCATTTTCGTGAGGACTAAAAATCCGTGCATCACCACAAGGCGCTGTATTGATGTACAAATGGAAATGAACACCGGATTTTAGTTTGTACGGGTATTGCCCATTGTCTTGATTCCTCACGAAAATCGACTGATTTGCAGTGGCTATAAAAATCAAAAGTTGAAAAAAAGAAAAATTTGTTTATGCGACTTTAGTAAATACGAGATTAATTGTTTGACGCATGTCATGTTTTGTTGTATTATTTGTTAGATTTATATTATTAATAAAAAAAGTATTAACTATGTAATTGTATCTAGTAAGTAATTCGAGTATACGCTTAAGTTAAAAAATGGTGGGATTCTAGAGCAATTAGTATTTATTAAAAATAATAGTGTTAATATATGTGAAAATGTAACCGATTTTAATTACTATTTTTTTATTTTCAAATGCAAACTAGGCGTCTAGAAGAGAAAAAAAAAAGCTAAAAATATAAGTAATAATTTTTTACACTACCGGCCGCTTTTTATGCTTGCTATTTGGAAAAAAAGTTAGAGAGCTTAAAAATTGGTTAATAAATAAAAAATATATAATAAAATTTTATATTTTATAATTTGGATTTAAGTGAATTGAAAGTTTGGCATGTGAGTAATATTTCAGATTTATGATTAATTTTAAGTCAAACGGTTACACGCAGTGACATTAACCCGTGAAAGTAACTGAAATTAACCCACACGACTTTACATATGTATAAAAATAGCAATAATTTTCGCAGGTATTAGCTCCGTTCCATATGGGTATTTAGGAACAAATAATTTTTACAATTATACATATGGACATACCGCCAGCTTAGAGTTAAAATTTGCTATGCCCACTTTAAAAAAAAAAATACATTTTGAATCGAGAAGCAATAACTGCTAACCATTTCTATGCAGTGATACGCAATCTTTTCATCAATGTTGTGGAATTTGGAGTTGTTCTAGCTTGGTATATGCGAATTTATTTTTTTTAAAGCAAATCCGTTCGAGAGGTTTTTTCTTTCCTCAAAAATATGAAAAAAACTGCAATTATCAACTTTTCACTCCAAGCTAGCGATATGTTTATATGTACATACACATAGTCGATGTTTTTGCAAAACCGCCTAAATCGCTGTTGTTGCAAAAATGAGATTTGGTAACCCTGAACTCCAGGCATCGAGATTTATGCATAAAAATCTTAAAATCGTTATTAAAACAACAGATTTGTAAAATAGTAGCCAAGCCTTGATAGTTAAAAATGAATGCTTGATAAAGTTTTGAATTTCCTACTTCATATCATTAAAAAAAATTACATGGAAACTACTCTGCAAATTCGAAAACTAGTATTTTTTTTAGCTATTCAAAAGCGAAACTTAAGAATTAACCCTTAGGGGAAATGCGCGCTCAACTAGTGATAGTTAAAATTTCAAAAGAAAAAAAAATAAAAATACGCGACTAAAGCAAAAAGTTAACAATTTGAGCTTTTTTTATTCATTATAATTCGTTCTCGACATGACCGCCCCTATTTCTGATACAAATCCTCACTTCTCCTTTGCTCGAACACTTCTCCTTTAGTGAATGTTGTTCTTTACGGCAAGAGGCATGTCCTCCATTCATTCGAGTAAACTGTTCTCCTCAGAGTTGAATGATACTAAGTAAATATGTATTCTTTATAAAAAACTGGGGTTGCTTGACTATCTTTTTTATATAGGGCGATTCGAAGGAGATGCATATCTTTGAAAGCAACTTTTTTTCTCCGACAAATTGGCAAACTTAATCATGGAGCGATACTCAGTTGTACAATGCGTATTAACGATGTGCGCATTGCGTTATTTTTTCGGTAAACTTAACCGGCCATCTGAGGCAACAATCAGCCGTTGGTGCAGGAAGAAATTGGATTCGTTTTCGTGCAGGTCGTTCGGTTGAAAATATTGCTGTTGTGGGACAAAGGGTGGACCAGATGGAAAAATAATTAGAACTGAAACGTAATGATCTAAAGTCGTTTTGTTCTCCACGACTGTAGTGCATAAAAGATTATTTAATTTTAAAAAATATGTCGACTTTTTTGGGGATATGTGTAGTAGTCCAGCTCGAGCTACATACCTCCAAATGTAAACATATGAACAAGACAGCAATTTCTATCGCTTACTTCATACACATATTTATTGTTCTGCCTGAGGTTGAAGGTGAGAGATGCCTCTTTTGCTTTTGATTATGTAAAATAGATGATATTGGAATTTAACATTTTATGTTAAAATGTATATAAGCAACAGAAGTGAGTTGAATCGCTTTCAAAAGTACGTTGACGCGCTAAAAAAGCAGCAGAAAAGAAAACACGCATTTTGTGGCTCGGTGAACAATTTATAGCGCAAACAGCACCTATTTTTAGCTAATCACTGAAAAACTCATGATTCAAACTATGTATATTGAGTGAATCATATAAATGCAAATGGAAAGCAATAAGAATAGATATAATATGTAGTACATATTTTTGCATGTGTAAATGTTTATGAGTAAACAATATCGCGACGTTGTGAGCCGCCAGCGCGTATATATTGCTAAGTGTCCCATATGGTCTAGTGGCTAGGATATCTGGCTTTCACCCAGAAGGCCCGGGTTCGATTCCCGGTATGGGAAGTATTTTTTATCTTAATTTTTCTATTGGTACCGCGTTATCATAAATGTTTTCCTTCTTAAATTCTATGCTAAATAAAATATGCAGCACCATGCAATTAAAAAAAAAATCCATTACATATGAAAGAAAACAAACCAAAAAAAAGTGTCTGGTAGCGAGTTTTGCATGCATTGTGGAAATTTTAAAAAATGTACAAATACGAGTACTCAAATATGTTAAAGTAAGGCAAAAATAAAGGCAGTAAAATGTTGCATTATGTATAGCGAAAGCCAGATATATGTATGTATGTATATACATTACAAAACTTGCTAGTAGCGCATCCATGCCAACATAAGTTTTTTGAAAAAATGCAGTTTTCGCAAAGAAAGATGTAAATTTTTTTTTTATATGAAAGCTACTTGAAGCGAATTTCTACCCTGTGTTCCTTGTGCGCTTTTTTTCTTTTTTTTTACTCTTTTCGCAACTTTTCGCGCAAAGCCTGGCACATTTGTAGAATTTCGCAGCTATAGCACAAACCGCATTCAAACAAAACTGCAAAGTTATGCAATGTGCGCTGTACAAACTAACCAAAATAAAACTACACTACTACTTTTTCAAAAAATAAAACTTACAATAATATAAGTGTATATTTTTTTTTTATATATACATACATATATGTACATACATACTATTTGCATACGCACTTGCGTGCACATGTGTGGATGTATGTACATATATGTATTTACGATTTCAGTAGAGACTCTAAGATGGGATTTGGTGTACGAAATAGTGGCTAAGTTTATATACATAAGTACATAAAAATTATAAACTTTAAAATTAAATAATAAAATTGTTGTTTCTATTAAAAGGTATACATATGTATGGCTGAGTAAAATACTCCTCGTCATCTACTAGGCAAGTAAATATTCAGTTGGACAAAAATTAAATAATCGCTTCAACATACCCTGACTGCATTGTAGATCCAATTGAGCATATAAATATTTCATTAGACAACGCCGAGAGACGATCTCAGCATGCGAATCGTTGAGCACAGCGCCAGTGACACTCATGTGTTCGCCGCTCACACATTTGGTGCCAGTGGACACGGAAATTACCTGCCAAATGGAAATTTGTAAAAATTACTTTGAAATTATAATCGAACATTTGAAAGACTGAACGCACTTTGGCTTCACTGAAATTCATATCTTCGGTCATTACAATGCCAGCCAAGACTTTGCGGCGCGAATACGATTCCTGTCCCTTGATGACCTCCATGAATTTCTCCAATACCAAGCGACCAATAGTGTCAGCGTGTATTTGTGGCAATTCCATGGACGATGTCTTATCATCGATCGGCAATGGCACATTCTTTTGTGGATGCATCATTGGACTGTACGAAATGTTGCATAGCGAAGCTAAAGCAGCCTTGGCAGCTGCATTCTTGGCCAACTTCTTTGAAGGACCTATAAAAAAGCGGAGGAAAGTAAGTCATCAAAAACAAATATAAAAATATGCACATGGGTCAATCCATGTCAAATCGAACATTTTTGGTTTGAATGAATTTTGGTCAGAACTTATCATATGACAAAGTTATGCCAAAGAAAGAAAAAATATTTTTTTTTTTAGTCTGCAAAATTCTAAAAAATCTCACAATTTCAAGGGCTTTTTTTTTGTTTAAGTTCAAAAATTTATGTCTTACAAAAAATAAAGACAGAAAATTTCAGGATCTTTTAAGACCAGTGAGAGGTGTTGAATAAAAAATTTTCCCAAAAATTTATACACAGTGGTCGAAAAATATTGACAAGTTTTACCAACTAATTTTTTTGGTATTTAATTTTAGTTATTTTCTTATAAAAAAAATTAATTCTTTGACAAAGCCCGTGCAACATTAAAAAAAAAATAAAATTTGTTCGTAAAAATTTCGAGCTTTTTAACAAGCTTTCTTAGAAAGATTTTCAGATTTTAAGAATGCAGTTTTGTAGTCCCTTCAATTCAAGTATACTAAAATGGTCCATTCCAACCATGGGTCGATTTGACATGGATTCACCCATTTGCGTTCATCTAAATATTTACATACCTGTGCCATCGAATTTGCTATTATTCACCGTTACAGTCATTTTGAAACGACAATTATTCTGTGCTCCATCCACTGTTGAGCAATCGAAGTGTACGTCGTTGAAGAGCTCATAGAGTAGCATAACAGGTCCCTTGTCCGGCACTTTCTTCTGGCCATCCACAGTAATGGCGCTCTTATTTACATCTAACGTGGAGTACAAAAATGTGTTGAATGTTAATGATTTGTGGCGGAGAAGGCGCAGTGTATATGAAAACATATTTTCAATTAGTGCTTTATATGTATGTATGTATAACTAGCTTGGATGGAAAAGCGCAATATATGCCGTTGCGCCTTGTGCGGCTGCGCGGTTGTTCTGTTTCATTAACTAACTCTGTCCATTGGGCAAGATTCAGGAGGGGAAACAAACTACATACTTGGTGAATTTATTGGTTAAAAAAAGTGAACAGAAAATTTCAACTCAAATTTGTATACTTGGTAAAATGAGAAGGGATTTAAAAAATAAAAAACATGAAATAGTAACGAACTAAGGGTACGAACAAAAATAATTTCAACAACACAATTTTATAATTACCTGTTTCAGAAAATATATGTATGTATTTGAATTATGTTGACGCTAAGAATGACATCGAAATTCAAAGTGGTCAGAGTTGTTGTTAAAGAGTATAAGGGACCGTAATGGTTTTGATTTTTATACAAAAAAAAAATATTTTTTTAGCCCTTGAAATTGGCCACAACGTTTTCAGTGCCTCATTGCCTCATCTTGTTCTACGTCACCACACTACAGCAGAATACGAGGCGATCGGTCTGACTATAGGTACATACAGTACTGGTCATATATATAACGCCCCATTTCAAAATTATATCGTTTGCCTCTTATGTTTAATTATTCATTTTTAAGAATTTTCATTTAAACTATAGCTCATTTTATAACAAAATAAATATAAATCCAAGTTTTAAACAAAAAAAAAAATCAACAAATTTTTAGCAAAATTTCAAACTTTTTTCTCAGAAGCGCTAGATTTTTTTTGAGTACGCAGTTTTATAGCCCATTCAATTTTAGTCTAATAATGTGATTTGATTTGATTTTTTAGAATTTTTTTTTGTCGCATTTGCTTCTATATAACGAAGAAACGCAATTAATTTTTATATGGAAAGAACCCGCAACAACTTCGGCGAAAAAAATTCTAAAAAATCAACGGTAATTTTTAGCCATTTCAAACTTGCACATTGTTAGACTAAACTTGAATGGGCTATAAAACTGTGTACTCAAAAAAATTCTAACACTTCTAAGAAAAAAGTTTGAAATTAGGTTGAAAATTTGTTGCACATTTTGGTAGTTTTCTACAAAGTTTTAAATTTAGTTTTATAAGGGTTTTGTTAGAGAATGAACTGTGTTTTAATTAAAAATTCCTAAAAAGAAATAAATAAACATGAGTGGCAAACAATATCACTTTGAAGTGGGGGTGCTATTGTATTGGCCAACGCCCTATGTGACCACAAAATACCATAGCCGATTTATCTTCAGTTCAATGTGACCTCTTCATGCTTCGTGTCAAAAGTTCCCCTATATATTTCACTTCCGCGGAAAGACTTAGGCTTAGGCCCCTAAGCAACGGAAAATTGTGACTTTTCAACTATTGTAGAAATGGACATCAAACATAATTTGTATCTTTAGAAACCAAAAGTAAAATTTAAAAGAATTTTTAATTTGAAAAAAAATATTACTTAGCGAATAAAAAAAAGAATACTTAGAGAATATGACTTATGAAATAAAATTGTAAATAAAATTGCATATACTTTGATTAGTTTCTGAACGAAAAAGACAACACAATGTAAAAGAAATTGTGATTAGGCGGGGCTAAATCAATTTCAGATTGGCTTACCAAGCCTGAATATTACACTTGGGCAATATTTCGTTGGACCCTAAAATGGCGGTTTCCCAGCGTAATACTCTGCATGAGCCCTTTGAAATTATTTGCCTTAGGAATCGTATTGCCGCTTGGCTATCAGAATAGATGAATATTAACCTGCCCATCGAAGCCGGGCAAGTCAATCAGCTGGAAGCCTACATTTAAGATTCATTCTGTCATAGAATTAATTTTTATGAACCACCACGAAGTGAAACCTTTCCTCTGCGCTTAAGTAAATATCTAAGTACATAGCATTTGGCAACATCCAAGTCGGACGATGCAGAATATGGTTCTCTGAGAAAGCCTTTTAGGACACTGTTTTTTTTTCGAAATATTCGAAGCACATTTAAATTCTGTACGAAAAATTAGAAAAAATCTACATGAAGAAATAACTACATTATTTTCTCACTACCAACAACAACCACCTCATGCGAAATCGCCTTCTTAAAGACCCGTTCTTGCTGTGTTTCCCGCCTGTATAAAAGCAAATTGAGGGCTTCATGATTTTGGAACTACTTCGGAGTGGAAAAAGAACCTGCGTACAAGTACATTTTGGAAGCGACGTAGTCCGATTGGGATTTCTTACACATCACACTGAGTAAAATTATGACTTATTCGGGTATGCCTCTCCCTTTATTTATTTTTAAATACCCTTTCCTTACACCATACCTCCCATCACGAAATTCAATAAAAATTAACCGAAAATTTAAAAGTACATACTTTTGTATATACAAACAATTTAAGTAGAGTACAAAAAAAAATATAGAAAAATAAATAAATAAAATAAACAATAACAAACAAATAAATAAAAAACAAATACTTGCTTGTCATGCTCAATGTACAATCGGAAACCTTCATGAAGGGTGTCAGTTTTTTAACAAATTTCGCATGCCTGAACAGTGCGTCTAAAAGCGAGACTAATTCATCCGTGCTTAGTTTGTCATAATTAGCAATACCGTTTTCCAGATGCTCATCGCTAGTGAAATCAAGATTACAAGTCGGCTTCAGCGGCGTCAAGACGGCACCATCTTTGAATTGTATGAAACTGCGTAACGCCGTAGCGGCTGCCTCGATGCGGGCGATCTTCTTGCTGCGACCCTGACCCATATACTTTTGTCCATCCACCTAAAAGGAGACAAGAAACATGAAATTAATATTGTTAATTATTCGAGATAACATAAAAGAGTAAATGAGATTTATATTATAGGTACATACATATGTAGTTACACAGGTGTACATACATTAGGGTGGTCCAAAAATGCATGTGAAAAAGTAAAGTTGGAATTGTAATGCCCTCACCTAACATGCCTAAGATGCCAGTTTATCGCGGATCTGAACACTTGAGACATATTTCAGTTGTTTTTACTCGTCAAAATAAGGGAACAATTTTAGGGATATGTATGGACCCGCCTAGAATAATTTTCTTTTTCCTCGTCATGCAATAGGACTATGGTGCCAAAGAGAACGCACCCGCCTAACACAACATAAATCCGGCTTTTGTCATATTTCGGAAATACGTAAAATACGTAGCATAAAAACTGAACATAATTTGAGGAGGCTGAGTGACCATAAGAGGTCCATAAGAGGGGCCCAGTTTTTGACCGAATTTCTTTAGTTTGTGGTATGCATTTTAAGATTGTCACACGAGACGTACATATGTCGCACAGTGTTCTATTTTGGGGGAAAATGGACAAAATGAAATATCTCGCGAACGAGAAGAGATAGCAAAGTTAATGTAACAGCATCTTAAGGCTTTTGCGATGGAGAATTCAGGAAAAATAGTGTCGTTGTGTAAAATAATTGCATTGAGCTTTAAAATGCCCTCCAAAAATATAAGGGTTTACATTTTTTATTTTATTTCTTTCCTTAAATTGTATGGACTTCTTAAAAAATTTGTGATACATATTTTGTTGTTATTGCGTCAAGGAATCCATTTCTATGGTCGCAGAAACCAAAAAACGCATTTTAAATTGTATTACAAAAAATTACTCTGACCTCAAAATCGACCCTCAAAACTTATTTTTTTCGGTTTTTGACCTAAAGACAGTATGCACTGAATTAAAAAAATAAAATACGTTTTTGGCTACTGCGACCAAGGAAGTGTTTTTTTTTTTTACTCAAGAACAGTAGATATATTTAGAAATTTTAAAAAGTTGATACTGCAACTGGCTTTAGGTAAAAAAATATATAATTAAAACCTATTTTCGAAGCTCATTTTAGCGGTCAAGATAGTTATTTTATTTAACCAGACTATTTTTTCCGAACTCCCCATCTCAAAAGCTTTAGAATATCGTCACATTTCTTTCGCTATCTCTTTTCGTGATATTTGATTTTAGCCATTTTTTCGAAAATAGAACACTGTGCGTTGCGCTCTGAAGGTTTTTTATGGGAAGCTATTTTTTGACATATGAAAAAAAAATATTCTTTCTAGACGTTCTTTGGTCACGGAAATTTTCGCCGTAGTTAAGAGTAAAAGTATGTTACGCATTTGTTGGATGCCTTCCATTTGAAGCGAAATGCCTTCCTATGCAGACCTCTAATACATACATACAATATCTCGATCTTCTTCCACATTACTGCGTGTTTTTAAGAGTTTTAAAACTTTTTTTTATTCTGTTATTTGAATCGATGTCAGCGCACATTGACTGCTATTTACTGTTATTCATAGCGTTTTTGTCAGCGTACTTGTCATCGCCGCAATTTGTTGTCATGCCACATGTGTGTAGTAACCCGAACTGATAACACCAAGAATTATGGAACAAACCAGACATCAACCACCAACCACCAACCACAACCATTACAACGCTAACTTAGCCGACCTCTTTCGCTTTGAATTGAATGGAGGCAAACTAGCGATGTATGCAACATCATTATCGCCCACATGCCGGAAAGCTGCAACAGTAACAACAATAGCAACAACAACAGCATAACGCTGGCAACTTCAACCACAAAAAAGAGCTTCAAAAACAACAACGTTAACGCGCCCGCAACACCCAACAACTTGGTGGGTTGGTGCCCGAGTTGGTAATGTTGTTCGGTGGAGTAGATAATATTGTTTGTACGAGCGAGTGTTGAGCAGAAAATCGAATTATAATGGTGTCGTTTTTGTGTTTGCGCTCCCTCAGTCTCTTCTATAGCCTAGTTTTTCTGTTTCTGCTCTTACGAGTAGGTTATCGTTAAGGATGCTTACTTTCCGTTTTTTCGCTCGCTTTTTATCGCTTGCTTCCGCTTTTTAAAAACTCTAGTTTAAGTATGTTGCAGCGATAAGCACAAAAAAAAATATCGTTAAAATTGTAATAGATAGTTGCGCGCGTGCTAGTTTTTCTAAAAAAAAATAATAATAATAATTTGTCAGTGTGACTGGATGTGTATGGGCGAATGTAGCAACCATCCTGTTTTTGCTGGATTAACTCAAGTCAGTTTGACTGGTAATTACCGCAGTGCACTATGTTGTTGAACTTGCCTGCATATGAACTGGCATATGTATGTATGTATGAAGTACAAAGTGGAAAAAACTTGCTTCGCCAATTTTTCGCATGAAAGAAGGTGAAAGGTTAGTAACACTTAATAAAAAAAGGCAACTGCTTTCTACATGAAAGAAACGCTTAATTGCAAGTAATGAATATTAATTGAGATGTTGAGAGAAGTTTGCAATAGCACATGTATGTATGTATATGACGTATGTTCCAACATATTTAGTATGCATTAAGGACGCAAAAGTGAAAAATGGCAGGAAAACTTACCGATCGAAATTTGTGCTACAAAGTAAAAAAGTCTACGTAAGTATTTTATGGGCTCATGTCAAATTAAGAGATTCTACTGACTTAACTACACTGATTTAATTCATCAAACAGGAGATTTGGCGCAAACAAAAACTTGACGACGAGACTAGGACTACAGTTAGTCACTTCATCTTCATCGATGCCCGTTGGCCATGCAAACCGAACCATAAATCATACATAAAATAGTTTTCTTGAAAGTTCTAAGAAATGTATGGGAAGTTGGCAAGAAGAAAATAAAATATTGTTCTGAGTAGCTTTTCAATAGTTCTGGAATTCTTGAAAAGGAAAAAAGATGTGGATATTTTTCGATAAAAATAACTAAGGCAAATAAAAAAATTGCGCTGAGTAGCTTTTGAATAGTTCTAGAGTTCCAGAAAAGGAAAAAAAGCTCTTCAAAATTACGCCGAAAAAAATTTTTTTTCCAAAAAGTTAAATTTTGGAAAAATTAAAAATTATAACTGCTCTGAGTAGGTTTTCAATAGTTCTAGAATACCTGTAAAATTTTAACTTTTTTTTTTTAATTAAGCCTTTTTCGACTTTTTTTATAAAATGGTTTTTTTTTTTTCTTTACCGGAACTCTTGTTCTATTGAAAAGCTACTCAGAACAAGTGAAGCTTCTCAAGTTTAAGCTACAATTGGAAAGTCAAAAGACAGTAGTAGCAGCACCAGACAATACAAGGCCCGAAGCGCCCGTTGAAAGGATAAAATAGCACATGGCTTACTACAGTGCATGCGAAGCTTTCGAGATATGGCGACCTTAGCTAACACCTATCAATACACCTTAGAAGTGAGTGGCGTAATGCTTGGCATAGTCACGCGCTTAAAGCACAGTGTAAGCAAAGTTCTCGGTGTGATGGCAAAGATATTCACAAGCACAGAAAACATTTCGCACGCACGCTACAGGATCGAGAAGCGAGTCTGGAAAGCCGAAGACTGTACACATAAGGCGTGGAATCTGGGCCCGAACCGCGGCCTTCGAGATCGTTTCGAACCGAATCGAATAAAATGGCAGCTGTTTTCTCCCCAATATAATTTAAATTGGCAAAGCGCACTCGCTAACGAATAACGTGATCTCAATATTAAATTTCGATTCGAATTGCGTTCGACATCGAATGACGCGATTTGGGCCCAAGAGTTGTAAGAGTGCATAGTATACCTGCACTAAGCATTAAGTTAAGTTATTGCACACTAAACATAAGTGTCTATAGTATAAGGAATAGAGTTATGAGTCTAGTCTTTAAGGCAGAACCGCTCCGGACGCCATCTTGTAAATAGTTAGCGGAATGAAGAAACAATCGATAGTATATTTTTGCATACAGTTGAAGCAGCATCCAAGAAATAAAGAAGTGGGGCGGGCCGAGCGGAGCTGCAAAGAAAGTGTTTCTTTCGTGCGAGGAGCGGCTAGGTCTAACAAACCCATAAAAAACTTCAAAGGATGTATGAAAAGAACTTCACAAAAAACGCCCAACATTCCAGCTCGCATAATAGAAGCACAGAAACTAGGCGTGACATAGCATGTACTATATGTACGAGTATGCAGAAGCATATGAATGTAGCCTAAAAAGGAATTTTTGAACACAGAATTCTTTGCCTTAAGTTATGGGTCAAAGAAAAGCAAAAAAAAAATGCGTATAACTGTATTCTTTCTCTCTCTGTTTGACAAGGATACATAAGATTACATAGCCTTAACAGAAACACATTCGCATGAACTTACATATGTACATATGCGAAGATAAAGGCGATAGATTTCAGATGGTGTTATGGTTTTGGTATTAAAAAAAAAAACACACACACACTTGCCTGTGCATTCTTCCGTCATCAAACGCTCTTCTTCTTCTTCTTTCTTTTATGCAAAAACAAGTGGTATCAAGTGCTGGGTAGGCCGGTCGATGGAAGTTAAACTGGAGAAAAACTACCAGCCAGCAGCTGGCAGAGAGAGAGAGTTGAAGCGAAACCATTTAGTCAATGGGCTGGACAAACAAATGCGTGCACATGTGTTTACTTAATAGGTTTACTTACGCGTTGGAGTGTGTGCATGTGGTACACACGTGCTGCGAGTATATGCGCACAGTAACTTTTTATTCAATGCTGCAGGCTGCAATGGCTGTAGGTCACTTCCACAATCCCGCATGAAAGAGCGAATACATTTGAGCACATGCAAATACACTTACAGAAATGTAAATACATACATATGTATGTATATTAGACCATACCACCTCTGAGTCTAAGAATTTTTGCAAGGCAATTTCGCTGAACCTAAGTGGTCCTTTTCACATTTTTCGGTGACAACTAAATTCGGCAATAAAAATATTCTTTGAAATAGTTCTACTGGAAGTATTCTCT